AAAACAATTTAATTACATTAAAAGATAGTTGACCTCTTGAACATAGGAAGGAAATAGGAAATTTTCAATAAATTTTCAGTGCTTGGGTTGTGTTGGATTTAACAAGGGAATATTATGAGTTTGAATTGTGTTTAAATATATATATATATATATATGGATACAAGGTGAAATAGTTTATCTTGAAGATTTGGTATTGTTTATTAAAAAATGAAACTAGTTGGAAAACAATAACACTATAGACATGAATTTTACTTTTCATGTCCAGGTTTTTAGGAACCATTATCCCTACATAGAAGGTAGTGTATTACCTTCTAGTTCCTGAAGTTATTCAGGAATTGGTAAGCAGTTCGTGTTTCCTGCTTCAAACACTATGTGCACATAATCTAAATACCTTCCTTAACGCCTCCACGCATGCATCTTTTCCTCCTAAGCTTGCAGAAGAGCTGTGTTTGAATGTGCTTAGATATACATCTTCACAGAATCAAGGCTTAGAACATCTGTACTACTTTGTAACATTTTTGGTCTTTATATTTCATACTGAACTGGAAAGGCACAGCAAAGGAAACTTATTTGAAGAAAAACACTGTGTGCAAAAAGGATAAAGCATGCCTATTATTGGTCTCTGTCACTGCAATAAGTAATCTCATCAAAACTGGAAAAAGAAAAGAAGTATAAAAAATTTTAGGTGTTTTCCAAGATTTTGTTGTTGAGCAGACACTTTTGTGATGTATGTAACATGTTGTTACATATATTACCATAACTTAAGTTATGGAACTAATTTGGTTTTGGAAGTTGATTCTATATTTAATAATAATCCCCTGTTCTTAACACTGGTTTGTCAGTTTTCACTTTAGCCAGTTTGCTGCAGAGCTGTGTTCTAGTGTCCTGCATCAACTGGTGTAGCTTATGTGACTAAAAACACCTTTCCTGGTACTTTGCATTTACTCCAGCTGACAGACTATGGTGGTACATGCAGCCAGCTACATGCTGATGCTATTGGAAAGGCAACTACACTGTTTTGGTGGGGCAAACTAATTATCTTAAAGCTGGCTATCTTTTCCAAGGAAGATAGGCTGGAATGCTGGAGACCATCAGATACTCTATTTTATGGCTACCTGGAGGAATTCTTCTTTTGAAGATAGTAGCACTGAAAATTGCTGTTATGATCAGATCAAACCATCTGCAGCATTTTCTGTCACTGAGTATGGACTGAGTAAACTCTTCCTAGCCGTTTGGTATAATCAGCATCATATAAAATGTGATTGGGTTCTTGAGGCAGGCTATGGACAGGAAAGCAAAATCAAACTCTTGTTCTAAATGGCAGCAACTCTTTACAACAAACCTTCTGCTTCAGGTTATAGTATTTAGGAACAGACTTCAGTTATTTACCTGAATGCTAATTACTAATGATTGCAAATAGCACATAGGTTTAAGTAAAAGTCTTTCAGCAGAAAACAAATCTGAATGAAAGTAAATTTCATAGGGAGAATAAGGCTTAATTTCATTATTTCTTCACAGTAATAACACTTGTATTGGGAGTTGTGGCAAGTAAACACTGGAAAAGGTATATGGATATCCCTGGTAGTAATCTCTAGCCCTTAATCACTTAATACACTTTGTAGTAGTAATGTGCCTACAAAACCACCATGTGGTAATACTCTAGGTCTATGTGGAGCAGTACCTTTAATTTCAGAATTCTGACACTCCTGAAGTGTGGGAGACAGGAGCAGGGACAGCCCAGAGGCCCCTTCTAAGCCCAGGGTTTGGGTATTTCAACAACCTTCCCATGAGTCCTGGAGCACCTGCAGCTCAGTGACCAAACCTGGAGAAGGGCACTCCCATCTTCACCAGGTGTCCTCTATATCCCACACCTCCATCTTCACCAGGTGACCTTTATTAACATTTCACCCCCTATATTCCCACACTGAGACTATTGCCAATTGCTTTACCCCATCTAAGGTTCACACTGAAAGTTAGTTTATACCGTAGACAGTTTACATGTACCTTTGCTTATCTCTATCTTGCCCATTTTTTAATTTTTGTCTTACTAATGCATGACATACTGAAGCACCATTTAGTGCTGGTTAATATTAGTATTACAAAAGGGACCTGTTAAAAAAACAAACAAAAAAAAAAAAAAACAAAAAAAAACAAGTAACTACTTAAACCTATAATAACATTAGATGTTAATATTTTCCTGAAATGAATCTGTTGCAAGAAGTGTTTGCAGGAAGAGTAACTCAGAAAGCATGACCAACTGAAACCAAAGCACGTAATGGACTTCAGGTATCCTCCAGTGTGAATGACTCTTGAAAGTTCTGTGCTAGTTCACAAAGGAAAATGATGGTGCATGTGCAGTAAGGACAGCAGGGAGCCTCTTGAAGGAACGAGTAACTCTGAGGGTTTTTAAACATGCCTAGATTTATCAAGAAAGACATCAACTTTTATTGCTGACCTTCCCCAAAGGGAACCTAGCAACAACGAAGCTGCGAGGCTTTTAAGTCAAAAAGAGGTTGAGAGGGATACTGCATACTTTGGCTGGTACCATTACACTACTGCAGAGCGCTCTGTGATTAAAATGTTCTTGTACTTCATATGGCAGTTCTGTAATAAACAGAGAACCCAGAGGCATTCAGATGTCTCTGAAAACAGTGCAGCAGCAGGGCAGTTATCTCAGTACCTTTTGTAGAAGATACTTCTGATAAGCGAGTTACCGGAAAAATAGATTGAAATCTGAATATTGCTTTTATTTTCTAGCAGTTCCTTAATTATACCAGCTGACACACTGATGACTAATATATCCTTGAAAGTCTAAGTTACCACATCTGTGTGGTTTGCTTGACTGATTAAATGGATATGAGTATTAACATGTGAGTAGTAATGAGTCCTATCAGAGGAGAGCAGTACCTTGAGCATTCCTATGAGAAAACATAGATGTGTCTAGCATAAGCCTGGATGGGGCATAGCTTTTTGGGACTGAGTATGGTCTTGCCTGTAAAATGACACATAATTAAGTTGTTTGGGATTTAGTCATATCTATGTAGCCACTGAAACTCAGCCCTAAGGTTCTGTGTGTGATTTTGTTTGTTTTTAACTGGCTGAGCTGTACAGACAGAGGTTAAATGCAGCAGAGGAGAGTACTTCTTGGGGAAAAAAGAGATAAAAGCTATTCTGCACCAGGTAAAAATATTCTTAACTCTGAATACTTTGAATATGGAGAACTTTCTAGTGACACAGATGGTTGGCCAAAGGTATTACTCACCACAAGACATGGTCTTAGGCAGGGTCTTAGATGGCCCTCTTGAGACAGGCGTGTGAATGTTATCCTTGGAAAAAGGCAAGGAATCACTAAAAGCTATCTCTGATAGAACATATCATCTTTTAGATCTGATGAATTAAAATATTTTCAAATAAGAAATAAAAGGTTATGTTTTCCCCTGTTGGGCAAAATGATTCCATTGCTAGAGAAAATACATATTACTAAACACAGTATAACTGAATAGGATTCTAACAGCTTTTTTAGAAAACATACTACAAAGCTTCTTACTCTTTATTCTGAAACATAGAGAAGGGAACTTTTGCACCAAATGCTACCAGAGGGATAACAAATACTTATGGAATTATGCGCTCTAACACCTAGATAAATTCACATATTCCACTGGTTTTGCCTGAAGCACTTCTCAATAATGACTTGCCTTGAGGTTTTTTCCCCCCTCTCCAGAGTGAAATATCTAAAGCAAAAACATAAGTCTTGAAAGATGAAACAACGCTTTCCAACTTGGGAACTTCAGACTTCTCCATTACTGTTTTACTTTCTCACTTTTTTAAAAGTACAAGTTGGAAAGGCTAAATACAGAAAACAGAAATATTTATTTCAAGTGCTCTTAGACAAACAGACAGCTTAGTGATCACAAGTTACTAACCTCAAAATGTACTGGATAACTGGTTAACACAAAGTTAACACATAACATACCCACCTTGAAAATATAGGAATATGAATCTTTATGCATCATACACTTACTGTGACACAGAAGGAAAAAAATTGTTTTTTTTCTTATTACCTTATATAATATTGTAGCCAACTGGGGTGAATGAAGAACACAGAATTATGCTTTTGGCATAGGTAAATCAAATTAAAAACTCTTCACAGGTTTGTTCCCCCGCAGGACAAATGGGTCTATGGCAGGTTTGTATGACAATGGTGGGTTTATACGGCAACGGTGAAAGAAAGCAAAAGACCAGGTCTTTTGACCTCACCTTTGCTTGTGGATGATGGTTGTGGATGTTGGACAGTCCATGTCCATGCAGACTGAGAATGCATGTGCTCTGAACACTGCTGAGCTCGGGTGAGAAGAGAATGCATAGGATCAAAATATGTCTCTAAATCTTATATTAGTGACTCGGCATGCTTAAGGTGATCAGGGACTATGTTAACACCTTGAAAAGACTGCAGAATGGATCTTGAGAAGATGCTTGTTTCACATTGTTCCCAACATCATAAAGAATTGGACGTAGCATTAGATGTTCTAATTTTTCTTAAATGTAGAATTTTAAATATGGTTATTAAGTAGTTTGACTAATTGGAGGCTTATTGGTTTAAAAATGAAGGTTACCTGACCTGGCTTCTGTGACTCTCTTCAGCCAACAGTCTTAAGATGATGCTGGGTTGTTCCATCTCTAGAAGGATGGTGGCTGCCCAAGGCAGAGACCCTTCACAGCATGTGCTAGCACAGTTGGTTTATCAACTGCTAAACATCCTGGGTGGGCAGAATCCTGCACTTACTGTTTCCTGAATTTAGACAATTTCAAAGCAAAGTGTTGGTAAGAGGCATGTAGTTATCAAATAACGATTCCCCACTGCAGTGTTTTTCTTAGCAGTAGTTGAAAAACCTATGATATTTTCTTTGTTTTCTAAAGTGTAGCTCAAAACCTTACAACAAACTTCAGAGGAAAATCTTGCCACTCTGGACTCATGTTAATGAGGAAGCCTTGGAAAGACACCCATTACAATGAACTTTATTTAAACGTTTGACCACTGAGTATACTCTATTCATAATTTTAACGCTTCCCAATGGGATCTTTATGGTACATTTCTATAAATTAAGCATTCATTGCATAAAACTGCACTCATTTGTCAGCATACTATATAACTTATCACAAAAACAGATAAACCAATAAAATATTCTGAAATACATGTAACAGTGGTAAGCAGATAATAAGTAACAGCTTATCTTCACAGGAAACAGCTCTAAATGAATCCCTCTTGAATTCATTTAATTAAGAAGCTGAAAAGGAGAGAAAAAGAGATTAAGTGCTGAAAAATGCATATAAAATATGGCATCACAATTATTTTTAACAGAATAAGCAAGTACTTCAAAACACTCATTTGAGAAGTCATTCAAGACATGCATGATGATCTCTTAAATTTTTATATCCCTTTAAGTAATTGCTAAGCAAGCATGAAAGTTATCAAAATAAATAAAAGTTGAGTGACTGAAACTTAAATTTTCCTATTAAAATTTTTTAAAAAGCAAAATGTACTTCAAACACCAATCAAATTCTGCATCTGCTCTTACTATTTAAGTGAGAACTTCCTCTCCCAAGAGCTGTTTGATTTATTCGGGATGTTCTTCCTCATTGTTAAACTGGCCATAGAGTGCAGAGAGTCTAGAGAACTTGGCAAGGCTCAGTAGGGCTGCACACACTTGGATTCTTTTCCCTTGGAACAAAACTTCATACTTTGAAATCCTTAAATTGAAGTTATGATAAGCAATATATGTATTTTTAAAGCACTTCAGTAAAGAGTTATCTTACAAAGTGGGAAGTCTTGTGTATGGACACATAATCTACACTATGTGAAGTACAGAATGGAGGAGTGTCTTTAACTTCACTGCCTCTAGCTTTCATAAAACATATAAACATCTTTCATCTCCTTGCAGATATGTAGTGTGCTCTAGCATACACATGCTGCAGTAACTTGTCAGTTTTCCATTCATTGCATAACTGCTTAATCATTACAAAACATCTATGCAAAACTGTTAGCTTAAAAGATGGTACCAGCATAAAGATTTCTCTGCTGCAAGAAGCTGACAAGCTCACTAGGCAAGATGCATAAACCAAGGCAAAATAGATGACTGCTGTTGGAAGCTGGAGGGTGAAGTGATGTTTTTCCACCTCTCATATCAAGAACAACTTCACAGAGGTGGAAATTGTAAGGCGGTGAATGAAGAAGTAAGAGAAGGCTGTGCATATTAAGACCTTCCCTGCTCAGAAAGGTAATCCAGATCATGGTATGAGGCCACGTATAGGAAAAAAAGTAAGATAGGAGAGTAACAATGGTGTAGTAAAAGAAAATGTATGTGGTGAGAAGAGTGAAGGACTGAAGATTACAATTAAAAGGAACAGGGGGTTGGACTAGATGATCTCTAGAGGTCCCTGCCAACCTCAGCCCTTCTGGGAATATAAATTTGCTAATTAAAGACTTAATGATGTGCTTATAACTGTAGAGAAAGGTAGTCATCAATATTGTAAATATCAGGTGTGATTTTTGGATAAATAGACACTGCCATATTTATTGTTCCTTAGAAGTCTGCTTACAGAAAGACTATCTTTAGCTATTAGGAGATAATACTGATAAGGCAAAAAGTTAAGACTATGTAGAAGACAGTAGCAGAAAAGGAGAGGGAGAAGGAAAGGTTTCTGAAAAATCAAGATGACAAATTGGACAACATATGTTGGAGCAACCCTGAAAACAAACAAAGCTCTATCATATCTGATTATGGAAAGCAGGGAAAAACAGAAAATCATGGCCAAACTGTTGCCTTTCAGACATGAACTAACCCTACTTAAGTAGAGGAGAGAAGAATACATTGTAAAGCCATGGGAAGACTTATGGGAAAGCCATAAAAGTGTTTTTTAAAGTTGAGTGGCAATCACATAAAGAAGGTTTGATTTAGAGAATGGCATGCCTGAAGTTTGAGACAAGGCACTGCCTTCTGAAAAGCTCTACTATGGGGTAAGACATCCTAAAACTCAGTTCTCCTGTTCTTTAAAGCACTGGAAACCAGCACTGATCTTAGAAGTGCTACAAAGCCGGGAATATGGAGGTCTGTGGATCTGCGTAAACTCAGTGAGGTATTAGATGGTTTGGGAAGCAAAGGAGACTGAGCTCTTTCCTCTTGCATTTCAGCAATTCTTTCTGGGCAGCTTCTTTCTAAAGAGCGTGTGGTCTAGCCAAAACATGGTAAATTTAAGATTCACCTGTGTGCTATTGTTCTCTCCGTGATTTCTGCAGATTTGGAGATAGCCTCCTATGTGTAATGGTATAGATTTGATGTGAATTTAAGTATTTATTAGAAGTGGATTTATCAGTTTATAAAACTTAAGTCAACTTAATTATGCATGAAGTCAATATGGGTAACATATCATCTAAGAAGCTGTTAGTATTAACAACCTTTATTAATAAATTTAATTTCAACAGTCTGCAAATACCATTTGTTACTAATATTTTACCTGTAGCTTTTAAATAACTACTCAATTTTAATCATTTGTATTTTTCAACTGCTCAATATTATGCAGGTTCTCTTTCCTGAAAGAACTAAATTATGATGAGGGTGGACATTTGTCATATGGTATGTATGGTGTATGCAGGAAATTTACACCTCTAAGGCATCTTGCAATTTGTCTATTCTTGATGCATTGGCTGTTTTAATTTAAGCAATAAATGAATACTTCATGTCTGACTTAACATTTTACCTCTTTAAAAGTAAGCCATCCCTTATTATGCTTTCTTGGAGCTTAGTTTCCCTTCTCTATTAGTAAATACAGAACATTTTTCCGTTCTATCACTATATAGTTTTGAAAGACTGATTATCTATACTGAAGTCTTATACATGTATAAGACTTTTCAATACTATCCTGATACAATGGCTAAAAAGGACAATCTGATAATGAAGTACTTAACTGCACTTATCAAAAAACCTTAAAGCACCGAAAGCAGCTTAATAAAAAAAAAAAAAAACATGAAAACGCAAATTTTCGTGTGTACAAATAATCTAAAATCAGTTTTAAAAACCTGCAGATGGTGAGACATGTTGATTTGAAAGCATAACTGGAGATGTCAACAATAAAGGAATTGTTCCAAGAAACTCACCCACAAACACAACACATTAGCTGGTAAATTTCAGTCAATGCTCAAAAGAGAGAGGCCTTTTTTAAGCACTAGTAAATAGATAACGCTTCTATCTGTCTCATCTTCCCGAAGAAGCCCAGACTACAAATATTTACACTGCTATCACTCCCTAGCTCAAGTTGCAAAGCTGCTCTTACAAAAGCTGGTTAATGTTCAAATTTAATGGGTACCATCTTGAAACTACTTATCAAAACAGTGTCAAGCAAAAGTTGTCCTTGTCTTGGGAGATTTTTAAACTTGTTTGAATAGGTCTGATTTTTAACTAAGAAAAATAGCAAAGATGAGGTGATAGCAATTGCCTAAAGCATGTGAAATATTATAGTCTGTAGTAGTGCACTGATATTTTAATCCATTTTATGGGCTCTCAGTATTCTTCTAAATAGGCTTTTGGACTAGTGCTTTCTGGATTGCAATGGCTTAATGTGTAATTTTCATAGAACCTCCTAATTTCAGCTTTCATTTTCAAGCTCTTTCATGAGCAGTTATCTTATCAGTCATAGTTCTGGTGTATAAATAATTTTTTCTGTCCTTCTCTTGTAGTTACTTGACAGAAAAAAAAATCAATGCTAATGTAATAAATTTATCACTCAATCACTTAATAATACTTAATCCCTAAAAGGGGAGAAAAGTCTTTCCCAAAAGATTCTCTTGGATATACGAATAGTCTTGTATGAAGAGAAAATGCCCAGTCTGGAAAGTGGCATTTCTTTGATAAATAAATGTTATATTTCAACAGTTAATGATAGCAATTAAAATAAAAGGCTTAGCAACAGGAAAAAAATCCATCCTGCTCCTGTTCTTATTTTTATGTGGGCATTAAAAGGCCTTGCCGTGGTAAGAAAACAGCTGAGAGGCATTCATTACATGCTGGCTGAGTACTCATCATGATTCTATCTATTTAGTAAGAAACTTCAATAACAGAATTTATGAGTGTATCTTATTGTTGTTTTTTGCCTAACCTCTCCCATTGAGTGTATATTTCTAAGGATATTTTACCTGCATATTCATCACATTATAAAAAAGAAAAAAAAAAAAACATTAGGAAAAAATGGAAGGAAGAATCAAAAACCCTCACAGGAAATATCTAAGAGGGCTGGAAAAAGTGCTATTTTCCCCTCCCACATACATATACAGACTCCTAAAGAGCACATTCACATACGTGTGCTTTTTATCTAAGACTCTCTTTATTCTTTTGTCACTGTAAAGAACAATGACAATGGCATTACAAGGGTGAAGCAAATATGCAAAAAACAAGAAGAAGAAGCAACAGTCCTTCTCTAGTCTTTTAACTCATGATTTATTTTCATCTACCTTTATTTTGTTCTATCTTTACAAGATGCAAGTCAGTGGCGACAAAAAAGATGCACAGCAGGCTCTGTTACTTCTCCAATTTTTACTGATGCATGCTGCTTCACAGAAGACTTATTTGGCTGTTCAGTGACAGAGTACACAAGTAATTTAGTTTATTTGACTTTCTTTGAAATATGACCGTAAAGTTGATGCTTGAAAATGTGTATATAGGATTAAAATTCCAGTTTTCTTTAAAGACTGCTTTAGGCATGCCTAAAGCATGTTAATACCTATTTCAAGCTATATGCATATACCCAGTAAAAGCTTCTGTTCTTAAGAAACAGTGTCTGGTTTTGTAGCAAACAAATTTTTCCATAAGGGCGGCATGGTTGAGATTGCTGAGGTGTGAAAGAATCAACAGCATGTTTATTTACAATAGTGCTACAGAAAATGGGGTCAGAGCTCCCCAAGAGAGACGCGGAAACCTCAAATATTTAATGCTGAAAGGAGCAAATAAGTAAATAACTCATTTGAAAACTAGCAAATGAAAGCAAACGAAAACCATACATGGTTCATTTTGTTATGAACTTCCTTGATGGGTGGGCATTATGACTAGTAAGCTGCAATAGTGAGTTTACTTTGCTTCTTAGAGCAGAATTTGGTTTTATGGATCTAAAAATTCCTTCATTTTAACAGGATGTAGCAATACCTGATTATAACAGGGTTGTGACAAATCATTTCTTTTAGCACCACCTTGGAATTCTTCTGGTCTTTTCTTTAGCTGTTTTAGCACAGGAATAAGTGCACTTTTCTTACATATGCATTGTACATTTAATTACATTTCTTGAACTTAAAGGTTTAACATAATTCTTAAGTTCTTTCTCTCCTTTTTTTTCCTGCTTTTTGATTTCCTTCATTCTTATCTTAGATACTAACTGCTGACTTTAAAGTCTACACAGGGCTCTAACTTCTGCTAGACATTCCATAGGAAAGACAAGTAAATTGAGGAGAAAAAAAAAGTGGCTTCCAGAATCTCTGATACTTTATCAAATATAGATGCAATGACGAAAACAGAAAATCTGTCCCCCTGAAAACACACAGTAAAAGTGTAAGTAAGAAAATGCAAGAGAAAACTCAATATTACTTAAAATGTCACACGTAGGAAAACTGAAATCTGTCACCCTGAGCTTCCCCAAGGCTAAAAGGTTATCTCTAGAAGGGAGAGCAGGAGGCTGAACAGACTATCCCAGAATACAAACTACTAGCTACACAGTAACAAGACCTTGCACTATTAGACAATTGGGATCTTTATAAACCTCTTCCCTTGACAGGCAAGAGCAAGAAGCAGGAGCAGACCTTCTGCAACTATTGCAAGAGGAAGAGTTTCCTATCTTGAATATGTGTTATTGAATGACAGGAATCTAGACTAAATGTCATTTACACTTGAAGAGAATAGAACAATAAAATAGTTTAGGGTCTGACAGCAAAAGCTAACAGAAAAAAAATATCCATCATCTTAAGTGAGATTGGTTTAGTTGGATATACATGCATTTGGAGATTTCAAAATAAAAAAAATGGCCTAATGTACTTAAGCGTATGCTCAGTTATGGGTGATAAAGCATATAAAATGTTAGTTGTCTGTGAGCATTAACAAGAGAAAAGGTTAAAATGGAAAAAAAGACTGGGGCAAAAGGAAGAAAAGCACAATCTCAACTAGGATCAGTAGCTGATAGCTTGAAACTGTTGTCTTGGGGGAGACCAAGTAGAAGAACTATTTCTCATGAAAAATACTTTAGTAAACTTAAAACAGAAGTTTGGAAGATAAAGATCTAGTTTGTTCTACAAACTAAATAACTAGGGAAATGTCATTGTATTGCAAAGAAGCCTGGTCTGTCATTTCTAAATCACTGCTGACTTTGCTTTCCTTGATTCCTTCCTCTAGTGATGCTTTTTCATTTTTCTGAAAATGATGCCAGAATCATGAGAAAATGATATGGGCTACCCCTCTCTGTTCATGACTAAAACTACTTTTTTAGTTTACTAAAAAAGAACAGGACAGCTGATGTGAAGATGTAAATCAGAAGTCTAGACTGTAGATAACCTGCCACCCAAAAGCATCCACCTGCACAGTGCAGAACTCAGAAAATCAGAACTCAGCACTAAACACTGTTTTTTTTGTGTGTGTCTTTTATATCTATTTTATAGCTAGAATGTGTGTATATAAAGATAGACAAATAAATACCTAGAGGGCTAAACATTCAAGCAGATGTTTCCTTTTGCACTTTCCCTGGAGTACTTGTAGATGCTATGTTCTGTGCTCAAAAGTGTTGGTCTAACAACCACGTTAAGCTTCTTGGCTTGCTTGAATGAACCATCATTCTCACTGCTTTGTCCTGCTCCCCAGGACTTCAGTGATAAACATTAAAATAGCTTTTAGGTAAGATTTTGTTAAAACATACACAATGATATTAAAATATATAAAATTATATAAATTATCTAAAGTGATAATTTAATAAAATATTACCTATAGGGGTAGCCATGGTATTTGGAGCGAAATATTGACAACAGGAAGCTGAAGAAAAAGACCACCAGACCCAGGCCTACCAGGCATATTACTGGAAAGAAAATAAATTTGTTTACTAGCACATAAAAGATTTGAATCTAGACTGTCTACAAAGAATATTATTTATGTCAATAAATTTTGACACAGAATATAGGAGTGTTGCTGCCTTGCTACTGATGCCCACTATATTCTGACAGGACTGCAAACACATGCGGAAATAATATTTATGGTTATTAAGCAAAATAACTTGTCAGTATGAACATATTTTCAAGAAAAGGGAATAGCAATTTGCAACTCAAACGCCTGTGGATGTAAACACCTTACTGCTGATAATGGATTTAATAACTCTGTAAATTATATATATCAAGCAATGTAATTTCAGGTATTTGCTGCTTCTTTCCAGAAAACAAATTATATTTAGAAAAAAATCCTTTCACTAATGAAGTCATGTTCTCTCTAGTCAGTTAGGGCTAAGGTAATGGTAAAGGCAGTATAGAAACTACCTTATCTAGCTCCTTGTGGCCAGAACATTCCACGTAATAAGATATAAGGCTGGTGGCCAGATTACTTTTTTTCCTCTGAATGTTATAGCCTAAATCTTTAGGCTGATGATAAGTAAGAATGATGCAAACCTTTTGACAGTATCCAGATGCAAGCACTTTGAGCCTTCTCAGGCTAAGAACAAACTAGGAAAGTGCTTATATTAACAAATAAAGTTTGACATCAAATGGCACCTGTACAGTAATAATGTAAAACCTTTCAATCAGGATAGCCTGTTCAACTGTGTGTAAAAAACGGCAGCACCTTACAAGCTGATGCATATAGTGGAGATGCATTCATCTCCATTAGATAATCTTTCAATTCTAGTGAACTAATTTGAATTTAAAGACTTTTCTTATACTTTTTCTTGTTTAGTCAAACCATTGCTATTTAATTGCAATATTCATGATTCAAATATGTTCTGGCTTTGAGTAAAGATGAAGCAGCCATCAAGCCTGTGAAACTGATATATATTTTTCATTAAAATTCTCTATGTGAGAGCTAATATGCCAAAATATATATATTTTTTGCAACTTTGAGAAAACTACCTACATATTGTTATATACTTCATTGCAAAGAACTTTAACTATCATTTCAAAGTATGGATTGGCAAGTATAAACAGTGGAAGGCATGTACACAGAAAAAGCATTTCCATTAGGGTCACAAGCAGAATAGAGTTTGAATGCGTACTGTATCCCAGTGTTATTTTATTATGTTCAGCTTCACAGACTAAGATGTCACCTTCCCAAGATGTCAGGTTGTAAGATTATATTCTAATGAAACTTCTCTGAATGTCTCTCCTGACTTTGGTATCAAAGCGAGTGGCGGGGAGGGGGGATTAGGAGTTTAGGTACCTACAGCTCATTGAAAGAAACCACAAAATCACTGAATGCAAAAGTCTTGTGAGTACCGCACAGAAGATTCTAAGAAATGAACTAAGAGAGAATGGTGAAGTAGTACAGAGTCAGGTATGTTTAAAAGGTCTTGAATTCCTTACATTAGAAAAGAAAGTGGCTGTGCAATGTAAGAACTAGGAAGTTTAAATCTGTGTGCTTAAGAAATTCACGGTCAAAAAAAGCTTCTAAATATTCTGAATGACAAAATATCAGAAAAATATAAAATTTGCATGTCAAGCTGAGATCCTTTGGACAATAGAGATTAAAATATGTCTGTACCACATCTGCTGTTGGGTTCTCACCTTCAAAGTGTACCTAGTAAAATAATTTTCATACTCTTTGGAATGTTGTCATCTTAAGCAACTTAAATGCCTAAATTCATTTTGCAAATAGTGTTTTGAAACTTTTGTACATTGCATCATTACAACTGAAGAGCCAAAAATACTTCATATTGTACAGTACTACAGTGAGTAGATACTGTTTCAAGTAGTAACTTGGTTATGTATGCTTAACATGTTTTTATATTGTTATAATTTTATGTGAATGCAGGTTTGGTACTCTCTCATACTCTATCCTGCAAAATGTAAAAATTGCTCTAAGGGAAATTTTTTGAAAAACTTTTGAAAAAACATATATATATGTATTTTTTCAATTTCTTATAACTGTGTAAATATTTTCTTAATTGTACTAAGTAACTTACTTCTCCTTTTTCCAACATCGCCTTTGGACGTAGCAGCTTCATTCAGGAGCACCATTCCCATGGTTATAGCAGCATCTATATGGCTATTGTCAAGGAAACAGCAGAACACGAGGGCATCTCAAGAAAGCCACAAAGACACATCTTACAAACTAAAACTTTCATGCAATGAAACTGTGTATGTAGATATCAAGTTCCATATCACACTCTGTACTGAACAATTATACTCATCTGTGGCAAAAATGTGCAGCAACCTTTTTATTGCCACATTCTACATAGGAAAGGAAGGATGACTCAAGCAGCTGCAAATGCTGCGAGTAGGGCAAGTTTTGATAGTTGTGAAAATGAACATTCCCCAATACCTTACAGTATGCTGTATCTTAAAAGGGAAATATTATAGAAAAGGGAGACTTAAAAAAGCAGAAAACATTCAGTGTTATTGCACACAGTTCTTTTAATTCATTGATTATTTGATTCACACTAAAGCACTGAAGTGCTTTTAGATTAGATAGACATTATCTCCCTTTTTAGTTTCATACTGCTTAATAATTCATCAGAGAAACATCTCAAAGGCAAAGTCCTGTCACTTTCAGTGTTTTACTGTCTAATTTTAAGTGTTACAAGTGTGAGCAAGTACATAATGATAAAATTATCAAATGCAGCAACATCTTAAACCATTCACTTAATTGTTTATTTGAAACTATGAATAAAAAGCAAGGAGGTTACTACTGTGCTTAGCACCTGTTCTGAACAGGAGGCATGTGTGAATGCCAGACTGAAGCAGAAGTGCATCACGGGAGCTCACAATTTCAAAAAACATCAACTTGGACAATACATATTTTGACAGTTTTTTTTACTATATGCATAGCATGCTCCAATATTCTTTGCTTAATCAAGTAAATCTGCATTTCAAAAGACAGGCTAATCCATCTCACATCCATCTACCTTTTTTTTTAATCTCCATGTCTACAGATACCTCTGTGTTCTGCAGATACTGTTATTCCTTAGGAAATGATACACTATTTTTAATTGTGTCAGCATCTTATTTCTGTCTTGGTTTATGTTTCAAGAAACAGAATCAGACAACAAGGTGATAAACTTGAACCTTAGACATGACTTCTTCAAAAGTTCACATGAGACCCGGTCCTGCAGGTAATGGAATTGTGTAATGTGGACTTGAACACTGATTTAAAAGGCATCAGAGCTCAGCAAAGAATGGTACTTTGCAAATTAGCTAGTATCTTTAAATGCAGAGTTTACAGACTAGATTTTCATTTATTTAGAGAATTCTGTAAAATACATACTCTAATAAAAAAAGTTCCTATTAAACTGAAGCATGCAATATGAAAACCATAATAAAAATATTCCAGAACCTGAACTTGACAAAATATTCATTAACCAGACTATAGGTCAATCAGGTCAATTTAGTTTTAAGTTAATCAGGTCAATTTAGTTTTTGAATTACATAAATAAAAAGGAATCCATGAGACAATGTCAATTGAAAAGGCAAAAATTATTTTCTAAAAATTTTCTTGTTAAAATTCATTCAGGAGGATATGTACGGAGCATAAGGGACAGGAAATCTCCTGTGATACTTATAAGCTTCTATGTAGGAAGAAGAAATGAAATAATGTCAAAAAAAGAACAAATTATTTCTCCACTTTCAGAAGTTAAAAAAGCATAAAAGTGAATCAATGGAGAAAGCTGGAACAGGAAGGGCTGAAAAAAAAAACAAGCCATAGCAAAAATCAGACTTCATATATATTTTTATCCTACTAAGAAACTGCCTCATGTAGCATTGTCTAAAATAATTTTATTTTCCCAGATCTCTCATTTAGGTTTAGAGCAGTATTATATAAGTCTTAGCTTAACTGAATCTGGGGAAAAAAAAAAATTGAGGGCAACTTATCAGAACCTTTTAGGTAAGTGTTAGTCTCTTCAAAGGTTTTAAACTGCTTCATAAGTAGAATTTATTTGCTTGATTATTACATGCAATACTGCACTTAATAGTTGCACTTAAAGTAGTTCTTTGCCATTTCCCTTACCTGCTTGCTTCTGAGGAAAAGAAAAAAAATCCAAAAAACCCAACAACACTAAAAAGACTTTTGGCAGACGACGATTTTCTAACAGAGTTCCTATTTCCTTATCTGATTGTATTTTTAATCTAATGTCCTTATCCTCAGGAAGAACAGTTTCACAAAAGGAATTGTCTCTTTGCAATGGAGAATTTTGGAGCATCTCTATAACCAACTGAACTGGGCTGATTTTTTTCTCTGTTTGGAGTGTCACATTATTACTGCTACAGCTTCACTCACATTGTCACTATTTTTGCTTCAACTCTTGCTTTCTATCTCTCATCATCATTGATGAGCTTTTATCCTCACTTGGTTAATTCTTAGCTTCAGTGACAGTGGTTTCATAGCTTTACACAGTAACGCTCAGCATTTACTTTACAATGTTGAAATAAATACTCAGTATCACTGACTTGTGATTTCAATGCAATCATAAGCTGTTTACCATAGAATATTTAACTGAAGTCTTTTTTTTTGTTGTTTCGTGTTTGTAATTTTATACATGTTAATATTCTACAAAGAACAGTGATTGTCCTATCCCTGAAAATAACCTTTTACAAGATCATATTCCCCTTGCAGCACAGAATTTAAAATTTTGGCAACTGGTTAATTGGCCAGTTTTCTATCCAGAAAAAAAAGTCATCAAAAGATTTATTTTCTAATTTATCACCCTCACTGTGCATTATGAAACTGTTTTGAAAAGATGAGAAGAATGTGTCACTCAGATAAAGCATGGTAGTAAATATTTCAAATTCAGAGGTTCATATTTCCTGACAAATGTATTCCTGTCAATAATTTGTGCGTGTGTGTTTGTGTAAACCCAGTAGCATTTCTTTTAATTTTTAATTTGGAATGATTTTATTTGTACACATTAAACTTCTGCTGCCCCTTTTACCAGCTGGCAAATGTTTTTCATAAAAAATGATAACACATTATTTAGCTAGGGCTTTTGAAAAGGTTCTGAATGCTTTGATATAAGAGGAAGAACAGTTTTAAAGCAGGATAAAAAACAAGCTCATCATTAAAATTTACAGGATGAAAAGATCAGCAGCAACTAAACATAACATTTAGCCCTGCAAAAACAAGACCCCTGATTGGCATTATTTTAAAAAAAAAAAAAAAAAAAAAAAAAAGAAAGAAACTTGACAGGATCAATACATTCCAGAGTGATAGAAAAAATGAAAAAAAATGCTAGTAAATTTTGGGTACTTTTAATTGCCATACTTTAATAGAAAATGTAAGTGCTATCAATTTCATTGAAAATATCCAAAAGGGAGAAAATCTGATAGGTCATTAGTTTGCTAATGTGATATATTATTTAGAACTTTCCTTGAGAAAATTGGTACTAACTAGTAGTGAGTAGGGAATAAAGAGAGGTGAGAAATAAGTTGATTGACACTTGGTTACTTTTGTGAAAAAAGTTTTGTGGGCTCATTCATATTCCACTGGATGACTGCCAAGAGTACAAAATCCTGCATTAGCATTATTCATATCAAGAAATTTTACCTTTGAGTTGCATACCACTTCATAACACATGAAATAGAAAAGCAAGTGAACAAAATACACTCTGCTTACATCTGTGCTCAATTTTATTGTTAACTAAAATGCAGACAGGGTATCACTCAAAATTGAAAGAGGGTTGCCAGCAGGTCAAGG